CTAATACTAACATGAAACAAACAGCTGTATGCACACCTTCTTGGAATTCAATCCAACTGAGTTCAATCAGGCACACTCTCACCAATGTGTGTGTATGGTTGCGGTGAAAACAATTTGTTCCTTTGTTTGTCTTAGTAAGATGGGATGAGAAAGAACTTCCAGCATAAAGAACTGATTTTCTTCTTTTCTTTTTTCTTTTTTGTCCTATTCCCTACCCCGCCCAGCTAAACATAACAAGATACTACAATGAGAAATAGAATTGGCTAACATATAGAATATAACCTGACATCTGTCCTTAATGTTGAACTTGGAATTATTGTTTCAAAAGGAGAATGTAATAGAAAATGTGTGTGTAACTAATTTTTAAATTTTGATCAATTGTTATATTTACTCAAATGCAATTGCTAAAATTATGGTGGCCTTATCACCAGCATTTCCTAATTTCCATCTTCTCTCTACATGTTCTTATTTTCTTATGGTTAACTAAAATTATACCCCATTGTGGTCAAAGACTAGCTTCCACAGGTATACAATCTGGACAAAAAAATAATTTCCATCAAAGTTCATTAGTCATCAGTCTAATGATCACTAAGCATGTTCTTAGTTGCAAAACATTTTTTTCAGGGCTTCCTTGACATCCTGATTCCTTAGACAATAGATGCACGGATTCAGCATGGGAGTAACAATAGTGTACACAACTGACACAAACTTATTGATGTTGAAAGAATGGATTCTTCTTGGTCTTGCATACATGAAAAGTGTAGCTGAGTAGAAGATAATAACCACTGTGAGGTGTGAGGCACAGGTAGAAAAGGCTTTTCTTTTTCCTTGAGTTGTAGGGATACGTAAGATGGTGCCTATGATAAACACATAGGAGCCAATTGTGATGGATAGTGGAATTATAAGGATAAGAAGGGCAAACACAAAGTCCACCAATTCAGCTACAGTGCGGTCACTGCAGGAGAGATTGAGCAAGGGTGAAATGTCACAGAAGAAATGGTTGATGACATTGGGCCCACAAAAACTCAAATGTGAAATGAAAGAAACCTTGAGCATAGAAATTAGGAAACCAGTGAGCCAGGAACCCACTGCTAGCTGCAAGCAAAGTTGGACAGTTATTATAACTGGATAGCGCAGTGGATGGCAGATGGCCACATAACGATCATAAGCCATGACAGCCAAAAGGACACATTCGGTGCAGACTAGTGATATGAAGAAATAGAGCTGAGCCATGCAGCCTGCATAGGAAATGCTTTTGTCCCTTGCTAGGAAGTTAATCAGGAGTTTGGGAACAGTCACAGAAATGTACCAAGTCTCCAGGAAAGACAAGTGACTGAGGAAAAGATACATGGGCTTTTGGAGCTGGCTATTTGTCCTGATGAGGATGATGATCATACTGTTCTCCAAAAGAGTGAGGATGTAAATAAGAAGAAAGACTACAAATAGTAGTCTCTGAAGTTCCAGGACAGTGGGGAAACCCAGGAGGATAAACTTCTGGACTCTGGTCTGGTTCCTCACTTCCATGCCTCATACACCAACCTGCAGGATCAAAGGACAACAGAAACATGATGAAGTTTACAAGATAAATGGAAACATTTTAGGAGGAGACCCCTGTCAGTATCTGGTGGGAGAAAGTCAGGATGTGGGAAAGGATGAATGGAAATGTCAAAAAAATGAAGCAAGAATTTCTTGCAGTTCTTCACTGAGAGTATGCTAAATATTCAAGTTTTGGATAATTCAGTTGCTGGCTTCCTGAAAAGGCAAGGTTATACACCATAAAACAATGATCAATATATAAAATATATGATCAGGAATAATAATTATAATTGTGGAGCCAGTTATACTTTTCAGTATGAGGGAATTCTCGCTGCCATCCCAACCTGATGCAGCCTCTCCACTAGCAGATAGTTGCTCAGGTGCAGCTGCCAAGTCTATTATTGATAATTTTTAATCTCTTGCATAAAAACAAATGCTAATTTTAAAATAAACATTCCCTTTGGTTGATGTTACTTCTGTTGTTATTTTTTATAAGAAACCTAGTGTGGAGCACACACACACACAAACACAAATTGGGTTTAGATGTGAAATACTAATGGTCAATGAGTTAAATTTTATGCAGGTTGTTGAATAGCTATTTTATCTCACTCTATCTTACTTCTATAATTGTAATTCTGGACGTCTTGGATTAGTAATATCAAATTTAATGAGATATTTTGTGGCTGCTTTGAGTTCTTTCTTGTAGAATATTGGAAGAAAAATATGATATGGAAGGCGGGCAGGGAGGAAGGAAGGAAATTTTTTACCTGTATGCTTAATAGACTTCAGAGTAATTATGAATGTTGATGTGTGTGTATATCTATATCATCTGTATCTATATATCTCTATCTCTGTATTATCTCTAAATAGCCAAGCTATCTGATATTATGAAAATAAAAGTTAAAATTCTAATATATAATAAAAAGTAATAATTTTGTACGTAACTATGTGAAAACAAAAATAATTCAGAAAGAGGAAAACAAAGTGTAAAGACCTAAATTACATTTCAATAATTAGATAGAAGGATCAAAATCAGTTCAGTTCAATGTACAGAAAGTATGTTCTGGTATGTCCAAATTACAATGAAAACATTGAAATGAATCTTACCTTCTTTTCATTGATATGCATGAAATATCTAAGGCTTACTAATCAGATATTGCGACTTGTTCCAACCAAATAAAGAAAACACATAAATACATGAAGAAAAGTAAATATGCATTATCTAAAATATCTTTTCTTGGGTCTTTATGAATAAAAGAAATTGACTTAATATAATAAAAAGTTATATATTACCACATGAAGTGGAGAAGAATTGTCTGAAAATACAGCACATATATTAGAATAAGTTTCCCTTCTCTAGTATTTCCTTTAAAAAGTGTCAACGCAAAGAGAAAACAGAGAAAGTTCAGCATAAATTAGAACATCACAAGATCATAACCTGCAAGTTGCTCTTAGTACAGTCCTTTATTTGCTCAGCAAGATCCTTAATTAAGTTTATTCATCCTAGTTAATATAATTTCCTGTAGCATAGATATAGTTCAGTATCATAGCATGACACATTTAGAAACATAACATTTGAAGTCTCAACAGAGCCTTTATACCTCAGAGCTTCCTAACTCAACCTGATACAAGTCTACGTAACTATTTCTTCTCCTTCTCCTTCTCCTTCTCCTTCTCCTTCTCCTTCTCCTCCTCCTCCTCCTTCTTCAAAACTGCATTAAAGTTAGGGAAAAGAAATGCCTCAGTCCTCAAAATCAGAACTGGACTGAAGTCATTACTGGGGAGAAATTCAGCATTCTTTTGTGTTTACTGAATAAGTATTGGTGAAACAATTTTGAAAAAAATTCTACCCATTTAGTCTGATATATTTTCAAGTTTATGCCTACTGGAAAGTAAAGACGTAAATTCCCTATGATTACATCTCTTCTCTCTCTCTCTCTCTCTCTCACACACACACACACACACACACACAGAGGAAAACAAAAACTGTTGTTGAAAATAGTATCCAGAGCAAAATGCACCTGATATTACTTCTTGTAACTATAGTATTTATATTGTATATGCCTGTTTTATGAACTGAACAGGCCTTACAACAAAATTTCACTTTCTCTGTTCTCTCTGGGCATTGATTTCCTAAATAAAAGACTACATTATATTCCTCAGCCTTCTCTAATATTTCCACTAAAAGTGGCTCAATACATTGAAATCTGACTCTCTGAAGTAACATAGCACAAGAAACATGAGGAACAGTCTTTATATATTTGGCATGGTGTAGACAGATCCAATCTGCACATGGAGCTGATCAGAATCTTCCATCCCAAAGACTGACGGTTCCAAGACATTAAAACATGGTTCAGTAAATGTTTTTTTGTGTTTTACTCTAGTATGATATTTAGCTGTGAAATGATGTTCTTCTTAACATTAGCATCCTTATTTAACAGTATATAAGCACAAATATGTTATATTAAGGATTGGTATGGTTTCCATTGAATATATTCTTATTTTGCATTGTTACAAACTATCTGGAAATGATTTGTATCCTGAAAGATAGTCAGGGACGCTCAAAACAAATAAGGAAATAATCACTGATGAATGGGACTACAGGCTTTCCACATTGCCTGGTTCCTCCACTGACAGAACAGGAAGGCACGTATTTTTGGAGTGCCAAAATGGACAATATTGCCCTTCATTGATTTCCTACTCTCAAAGTGGCCTTAGGGCAGGGTTTTCTGCTCAACATACTTTGTCTTTCCATGTTTTGTCCCCCTGAGCTCTCTTGAGCATTTTGGTTCACAGCATTCAGTTTGTTACAGGGTACCTTCAGCAGTTCATTGGACACTTCAAGAATGGCCTGTGAGAAGAAAGAGGAGTGTGGATGAAAACACATTTCTGCACCTAAAAATGGCAGCACTGAATTTGCCTGACTGGCAGGGTTACTGCCAGGCAGAAACACTCTCATCTTCCAAACCCATAACTAGCTAAGCTTATTCCAAAGCAGTGCAACCACTCTTCATGTGGAAAAGCTTACAAGGTCTTGGGAATGGCTCCAGGAGTTCTTGGTATCCACCTGCTCGGTATCCTTCCCTATTTTCTTTTCTTTTGATTATTTATTCTACTTAAATATTCCTACGTCCAAGAATCAACTCCAAGCAGTTTACAAATTGCAAAATTTCAGATGCTCACGTTCATTTTGTAAGCATTTTCAAGTTTGGGAGCGTTGGCTAGTATAAATCTGAAAGCTGAGCATAATCATACAAGGCCACTTTCATGAACTGAAACAATCATTCATTCATTCATTCATTCAGTGAAGAAAGTCTGCCAAACAAGTCCACAGTTTTTATTTCATGAGTTTTGTACATTTCTTTGCACAACATGTATTATGAAATACTGATATACACTTATACATGCACATAATATTTTTTTTTTTCTTATGTAAGATGAGGTGGATTCTATTAGATATTAGGCTAAAACGTCCTAACCACGTTGTCAGGACTTAAGTTGCAAAATACTTTTTTCAGGGCTTCCTTGACATCCTGATTCCTTAGACAATAGATGCACGGATTCAGCATGGGAGTAACAATAGTATACACAACTGATACAAACTTATTGATGTTGAAAGAATGGATTCTCCTTGGTCTTGCATACATGAAAAGTGTACCTGAGTAGAACATAATAACCACTGTGAGGTGTGAGGCACAGGTAGAAAAGGCTTTTCTTTTTCCTTGAGTTGTAGGGATACGTAAGATGGTGCCTAAGATAAACACATAGGAGCCAATTGTGACAGAGAGTGGAATTATAAGGATAAGAAGGGCAAACACAAAGTCCACCAATTCAGCTACAGTGCGGTCACTGCAGGAGAGATTGAGCAAAGGTGAAATGTCACAGAAGTAGTGGTTGATGACATTGGGCCCACAAAAACTCAAACGTGAAATGAAAGAAACCTTGAGCATAGAATTTAGGAAACCAGCGAGCCAGGAACCCACTGCTAGCTGGAAACAAAGCTGGGCAGTCATTATAACTGGATAGCGCAGTGGATGGCAGATGGCCACATAGCGGTCATAAGCCATGACAGCCAAAAGGACACATTCAGTGCTGGCTAGTGATATGAAGAAATAGAGCTGAGCCATGCAGCCTGCATAGGAAATGCTTTTGTCCCTTGCTAGGAAGTTAATCAGGAGTTTGGGAACAGTCACAGAAATGTACCAAGTCTCCAGGAAAGACAAGTGACTGAGGAAAAGATACATGGGCTTTTGGAGCTGGCTATTTGTCCTGATGAGGATGATGATCATAGCATTCTCCAAAAGAGTGAGGATGTAAATAAGAAGAAAGACTACAAATAGTAGTCTCTGAAGTTCTAAGACAGTGGGGAAACCCAGGAGAATAAACTTCTGGATTCTGGTCTGGTTCCTCACCTCCATGCCTCATACACGAACCTGCAGGATCAAAGGATAACAGAAACATGATGAAGTTTACAAGATAAATGGAAACATTTTAGGAGGAGAGCTTATTTAGTATATGGTGGGGAAAAATCAGGATATGGGAAAGGATGAATGGAAATGTCAAAAAAATGAAGCAAGAATTTCTGGAGGTTCAAGAGATAACAGAAGCATGATAGAATTTGTAGATGATTTGGAATGTCAGCAAGTTGAGTAGTGTTTTAAGTAATGTAAGAAATAAAACATCATTTATTTATTTATTTATTTATTTATTTATTTATTTATTTAAAAGGGATTACTATATAGATAAAAATGGTCTTGCTGGAAAAAATGGAGAATGGTTCCATTCACACAAAGTTTTTGCTTATTGTATTACCTATAGAGTGCTCTACAGTTCAAGCCTGTTTTGAAAGATAATACAGGAATTTCACTGGGATCTAATATTCCCACTCATATATAAAATCAGATTACTCAAGCTTTTTTGCATGCCACCTCCATCTCATACCACTCCAATATTAATAAATGACTATTCTAATAACATTTAGGTATTTTCATTGCAGCCCCTTCCTCCTCCTCCTCCTCCTCCTCCTCCTCCTCCTCCTCCTCCTCCTCC